GGGCTTTAGTCAAAGGCTTGCGCACTAGGTGGTATTTAAAAGCCAAATGCAATGCTTAAATAAAAAGGTGTGTTAATTTCTGAATATATCATTTTAATTAGACGGCAAATAAAACATACAAATTATCAGGGTCTTTGGCAACTAAATGAAAATGAATTTTCTGTATTTGAGATCAAAGTGATCAGAAACAAATAGATCCATTGAAAAACGCTAAATCTGTGACCACCAAGAAACGGCTTTGAAATATAATGTCGTCACATGGTTGCTAAAATGTGTAATGTTTAATAAATTAAAATTTGTGTCACCAATAACAATCAAAATTTAGTTTTCCTAATTGCAGTCTTATGTAAAAATCAGAATGATCAGTGTAAATACATATAAATGGGTTTATTTTCAATTTTCTCCTCGTTTTACATGTTGATCGATGCCTTAAATTGTTGCCCCAACAACGATGAGGAAACAGATAAGGTGACTTTTGATTGGACTAATTTGAAATGTTTCGATGATGTCAAATAACCATAGTTTATGACCTCTTACATCATAGTAAGAGGACATTTTCATTTACAAAGCAACTTATCACTTCCAAACGACATATAGTTCAATGCGTCCATTGTGCAATTTTTGTAATTGTTTTATTGTACTTCTCAAAAAACTTAAAATACGTAAAATATTATGCAACTCAACTCAAATGTTTAAAATAGCACAAACCCTTCAGTTGATAACCTTGAACAATTCACCTTCGTCTTGGTTAAAATAGATGATAGTTGACTCTATAATTATTAAATTACAATACAGGACATTTTTACAAATATGAATGTTAGCTGGAAGTTTTGGGACCCATATTTGTTTGAACAGTTTGTAATACATTTGATCTCATCAGTTAGGGAGCTACCATTTGATTTTTATGGGGGGGGGGGCTAGGATGAAATTTGAAAAAAATAGGCAGGACAGGATTTTTGAGTAAAAAAAAAGGCAGGATGAGATTATTTGCAAAAAAAAATAGGCAGGATGACAATTTATGTAAAAAAAAAGTCAGGATAAGCTAAAAAAAAAAAAGGCAGGACCGAATAGTGTGAAAAATAAAAAATAAAAAGGCAGGACCGAACAGAGGGGAAAATAAATAGGCAGGACAAAATTTTTCATCCTAGCCCTCCCCCCCCCCCCCCCCCCCCCCCCCATAAAAATCAGATGGTAGCTCCCTTAGAGGAAAACGGCTGTACTGGTGTTTAGCTTTCTTTCCACTATACAACAAACGTCTTTCAGAAAGCAAACTAGTTCAGTGAATATTGACATATCAATCTGGTTTGTACATTAAATTTTTGCAGTAAAACTATGTTTTAATATGTCAGTTATTGTACACATAAAATTTTAAGGTGAAACGTTATATCTTTACATTCGGAACTATAGTAATTCATTTTTACATAAAGAGACAATAAAGTGCGAAAGGCAAAAATAATTGTATAATCATTTCACTGTGTTAAATTTATTCATTTTTAGCACAAAGTTATTGGTACGTGGCTTTAATTTACCGGGATGGCGTAGTAAATAATTATTAGATGTTTAATTAAGACAATATGATATCTCAGTACGAGAGGTTTAGATACAACTGTACATAATATCAAAAGCAGGAATAAAACTATGAGTTATAGTAGGTGTGTATAAGAGAATCATTTCAATAGTATTGTCACAGACGATTTTGATGTTGTTTGAACATTAGGTTATGTACTATGCCAGGCTAAAATACCATTGGTTTGACCATATTATTCGACAAGAAGGTTTCAGATTGATATGACACTGAAAAATAGATTTGATACCTCGTTTTGTGTGTGTTTTTGTGTGTTCTCAATCTACTTCTTGCTTTAAGTCTAAGTAATGGTGAGTTCCATTCAGATATCTATCATATTACCAGGTGATATTTGTTCTTTCAGATATGCCCAACGGTCAGGACAAATGACCTCTAATTTCGTTTTATGTCCTTGTCGGCGAATATAAATGAACACATTTGGATGCCAATTTCAGCCAGAATAATTCGATTTGTAGATCGAACGCCATTGTTTCGCATTTTTATGTATCTTCATGCATATTAACTTTATGTCCACTGTAGAAGTGAAGGCTCTTATTTGAACTGGAAATCGTTTTCTTTATGGTATTTTTACGATATTTTTACTATCTAAGAATTAATAAAAACTTCAAATGATGGTATAGAATTTCAAATTTTGCACAAAAATATCAACAATTGAATTATATTGACGTACAATCTGGCGCAGTGACATAGAGATTTTATAGCATATCAAATCTCCTTCAACTTTTTTTTTGTGAAACGATTTTCTATGAATGTTCTGGGACAAGCATGTTTACGTTGGTCTACTGCCTCTTTGTCTGTAATGACTTACTCCATGAAATATTGATTTCGATAAATTGGATATACAACGTTTGTAGAGCCATATTTCAAGTTTGGCACATTTGACATTTAAAAAAATTTAGTATGTTTTGGTCTTTTCACTTTCTGAATCAACTTTATTGTGATAAATTTGTTTTAACTGGATCCCTCAAGGGTATTAGAGTTGGCTACACGCTGTAGTCTCTTCTATATATATGTAGAGCTTCAATGGTATATGTTTTATCATATACTGGCTTTAGTAGTATTAAACAGGTAAACAGGTCAACAAAAATATTTACGTTGATCGTTATTTCAACTTTCATGCAATGGTGTTGTCAGTTTCTCTCGACCTGTGAGTTTTAAATATCCCCTTGGTATCTTCCGCCTCTATTTTTCTACAGACAATCTTACTTTGTCATAATAAAACATGTCCACTTGTGTCCATTTGACAATACTATATTTTACCTTGCCCCTACCGTTTACACATGCTACATGTTAAGACTATGAATCATATGAAGAGTGAGTGATGCATGTTTGAAGGAGATGCTTATTCCGTCTAAAACCTATCGGAGGTCGTGCTTTTCCGGTTGCTTTTACCAACATATGTGTTTGTTTGTTTGTTCGTTTATTGGGATTCTCATGTGTCAACTTAAATCAGCATGTTTTTTCATTTATATTTATGCACAAAACATTGCAATTCTCATACATACGTTATATGTGTTTCTTATCCTGTTCTTGCAGAACTGTGGAGAGAGAAGAGACAAAATGAAACTTTAGGAAAATCGAATTTTGTTTATTGGAGTCATCATCAAAAATATTTATTTAAAATGTCTAAACATGTTTCTTCTTTTGAATGTAGTATTTTTCTCGTACTCAAATATATCAGAGTAGTATAGATGTACATAGTTTTCAAACAAAAGTCAGGACTAGAAAAGGTGGAGTTGTAAATAAATCTCCGTTTCGTGTTTTGACCAAATTTACCCAGTGATACGGAAAATGTGTTATAATCTCTTTCGTGACATATTTTAAAACAGGCAAAAAATCAAAAATAGAATGACATTGTCAACAAACGGATTAAACCGTCCCTGAACCTTAAGCAGGAATAAATAAATGTTTCAGAAGATTTTGCGTTTCTGTTCTTTTGACGTTTATCCTTTATTTGCTATTGTTTTTTTTTTAATATTATAACTAAAATAATTATGACACTTCATTACGACAAAAGCAGATTTGCTTCCCATGAATTTTAGAATGTGTGGATTTTTTTATTTTATTTCAATTTGTGAGCATTTTGAGAATTTAAAAATCATAAAAATCAGCTTATTTCGGATTATTTAATGGAAATCCCTAGGAAAGCTGACAACGTTATTGATTTTTTGATGCCTTATATTTCATTAAAATTGAAATTAATTGCATTGTGAATATGGGTTTTTTTTACTCTGTCCCAAGATTCAAATTTATTTGTATATATATGACGTTTATTACCAACGCATTCTCTTTTGTGTATACTTTATTCTTGGTAAGTAGCTGTTTAGATGGCCATGTTATATTTGAAAGTATTGTAAAATAGATAAATAAATCGTTTCTACTCGTATATGTAAATATGTCTTGTCTGGTTTTTGTAAGAGTGGAAAATCTTATTAGTTTTTTTTAATATATAATGTAAATTACAGCTTTAAAACTTTTTATCATTCAAACATCATATTTTTATTGTTTATTTATCTGTGTCTTTGTTGTTATATTTTTTTTGGATTTGAATGGATTGTGAAAACAAGTGGATTAATCGAATTTTTAAAGAAACAACATCTTTCAGTCGAGTCTTTATGTTCTATAAATTGCTAGAAGGAAAAACAGCAGAGGAAAAAATATTTTCATGTTCTAAGGGAGCAATTTCAATTTCAGAATGTAATATAAACAGAACTGGACAAGGTAATCCGACATAGATGATATAAATACATAACATGTATTTAGGAAATCAGAAATTAACACTACAATATCGCTTTAAAAAAGCAAGGAGGCTATGGTAGATGATCTCATTGGAAAAATAAAGTAAACTTGTACATCCACTTCATTTGAACTTTGTTGGATAGTTGTCTCATTGGCAATCATACCACATCTCCTTATTTTTATTTTCCAGTATATATCTTGCCAAATTTGTTGGAAATTCATCAAACCTGTGGTTTAAAAAAATTATATATTTGAATTGTTTAACTACAATGTAGTTTTACACGAAAAGATAACAACATCGCATTTCGATAACAAACATACATGTTTAAATGAATATTGTCTTAAAAATTGTAAAAATGGTAAACAAGATTGTAATGTTGATATACTAAATCAAACATGTCTATGAATAGCATTGTACAAATTCTGAGTAAAGAAAAACTTTGAAATATATTGATAGAATAATTCTTTATCTTAAAAATAATTCATCTTTTAATAATAATAATAATAATAATAATAATAATAATAATAATAATAATATTATTTTGCTAAGTTATTGAAATATTTGATATTAGACAAAAAATTTGAATAATAATAAACTAGCAGAAATTTCAAAAGAAAGAAAAGTCATTCATGACAATCTGGAAAAAATTTCAAGAATGTTTAAGTTGAGAGATCAAAAGTGAATTTGTACAATTCCCAGAGTTACAGAATAAAAACGTTGTACTTACTGTGTAAATTCAAACAAAATAACACGTTTTATCATTGGAAACATTTACTTTTATTTTTTCATTATGTCTGATAATAACATGTTCCGATTTATCCGTTTGTCAAGACCCTTACTTTGAGTATAAGCCGACAATTCGGTAGTTCAACCTTGTAAATGAATCCATCTTCACAACTGATATTTAAATTCAAAAATTATATACCGATTTCTGTATCATAATGGTGGCAAATAAGAATTAAAAGGTACAAGTTATCATACGATCAAAAAGCAGGTGCGTGAATGCTGAGTTTAATAAACACATGCCATAGGAGAAAGGCCGTACGGTGCTCGTAATGATCCACTTGTATCAGGACCTACTTCTTGCAGCGGAAGTTTAGTTACATTGAAAAAATGTGTATTTGATTTCTGTATGCACGTATAGATCAGTGGTGATATATTCAAATGTAACACGTCAACATAATAATGCATATTGAAATAATATACGTTCTGCCCATTTTTTAAATGTCGCACTGTGATTTTTGTTGAGAATCGGAAATACTTTCACTGATATTGTATCCCGACCGACAGTAATATAAATCAATCCTCGATATGTCGGATTAGTAAATCTTGCTGGACATGCAATCTGGCAGACCCGAGAAGCTGGACACTGCACGAACACTGACAGGTAACAATCTTTTCCACTTTATCCATAACACTCCATGTTTTTGTTTTTTTTTAAACTGTTCGGTGCACGAATATTTACTTCATTTCACAATGTTTTCCTGCAGTTTCAAATTTTTGTTCAAAACCAGACCAAGTTTTGTATTTACACAAAATACCCAGCGATAAGAAACAGTATTTTATAACGACGGATATTTTATGTATTTTTCTTTACAGAACATTGCTAAAGGGTCGTTATAACGGAGGCGGGATTTAGTTTATTGCTTTCAGTAAAGTGCAGTTATAAAATGTTTTAATGTAGTAGTTACACTGTAATTTGAGTTGATTTTAAGACAATTTGGCGTATACGAAGCAGAATTCAGTTTATGGTTTGATGTAATGGCCACTTTATAGCCCGACGTTGAGTAACAGAGATGTTTACAAATAAAAACAACCGAGACATTCCCTACTCTCTCATTCTGGTTTCTGAAAGGGCACTCGCGGTTTTTGGTTAAATTCTGTTTTGAATTTAGCAATTTTCTAATTATTCTGTTTACATCCTGCCATCTTATGTATATCTCTTACAAGATAAAGATTAATAAATAAAATGTAGAGTGATATAATACATAAATATAAAACAAATCTTAAAAACTGCTATGTGATAAAAAATATATTTATTTGAATATACAATGAGACGGATATTTATAATGTTTAGAATCCCCATTTTATAACAAAAATATATATTTCAATCAGAAAATATAGAAAATGCATCATGTTTAATGGACGTTTTATACTAATGTTCCTACAAATGTGTTTTGATTATTTATGAGACCTCATTGGTGGGCCAGTTAATTTTTCTTAAGCTAGGTCTACCGAAAAGATAATTTCTTCTCACCATGGAAGTGTATTAATTTGATTTATGACTTAAATGGATGTTGTGACGAGACTTCAGTAATGTAACAAAAATGCGATGATGATTTTAGCATGCTTTCTGTTTTTAGGTGGTTTTGATTTTTACCAATTCTATGTCACAAAGTTAGTATTATTATTATTATTATTGTTGTTATTTTTGTTGTGTATTTTTCAAATCATATGATTTAAGATTATCCTTTGAAACACACGATCTGATAAATATGTTGTGACCTGCCTATCCTGTTGCATGAAATGTGACAGAAAGAATTAATTATACATTAAAACAGAAACTTTTTCATTTAATTTTATTTTAGAGGAACATTAACACGTTTTAAATACAACAGTTGAAAATTTGATATCAAATAACATTTTAAACATTATTCTCGGAAGAGAAAAATACTTTGACGTAATGGTATATTGATTCTAACAATATTTATCATTCTCAAGTCTTGGTCGTCAAATATTTGGAAGTACGGCCTAAAATATAAGATTAAAGTTTACATTATCAACTGTTGAACAAGTACGGGTATTTGAAAAAAAATATTGGTAACTTACAAGCTAAATAACATCTAGATAAAAGGAAAATATTATTTACTATTTGCATAACATAAGATAAAATAAATTAATATAAAATAGAATAGAATAAATACACTGGTTTGAATGCTTACTCCATGTGTTGTGACAAGAATTGTGAAATATAATTTTTTAAATTGTTACGATAATATTTATCAAGAAAAGCGGATCTTTTACGTCTTTCCCTTCACCGAGGAGAAAACTATCCTCAAACGCCGAGATAAAAAAAAAAACAACAAACAAATATTACTTAAAAGTTTACGTAACCAAGAAATATTGGAAAATATTATTTATATGAATCATAAACTCAAAAGTATAATTAGGGCAATTTACATGCAGTGTTTTTGATATTTTCTTGTAGGTCGTAATTTCTTCAATGTTGGGCTGCCTGAAGGGGTATATTAATGGCAAACGTATCTTTTAAATTTGAAGTCTGGAGGGAAATGGAATAAGATTTACGACTTCGAGTCTGTGTGGCGTAAAAAACCACCGTCGACGTTCTATAATGTCTTCACATTTTTACATTTAAATGTATAAATTGAGAATTATCACTCGAGTTAAAAAAATTAAAATATTTTTAAATTAGCACAAAAAGCAAAATAACATTAATCTGTGCAAAAGATTCATGTGACGGGAAAATGTGTGTAGTTCGCTGCATATTGTATGCAAGTTTTAAAACTTTGCATTACTATTTAAACCAGATAAGTGTGCTTAGTCTTCCAAAATGGTTATTTACTATTATGTTTAAATGCACATTTTCCATAAATCATCAGCGATTGTATAAAAATACAAAACTATATAAATGTTTAAAGTATGAACATTGCTATTCAGAGCAAAGCATTATAATCACCCTGGCAAAATGGTGTTATTTCCTTTATAAAAAAAACTATGAAGATGTTCTAAGCAAAGTATTTCTCGACTCTGAAATGAACACATCGACAGATGCAGGTGGGATTCAAAATTTACGAAGTTTCGGGATATATACATAAACCAACAAGCACCAATTATATATAGTTTCTCAGCACACGTATATGTAACGCGTACAGGATATATAATAATGTTCTTACCAAGGACATACACCTTATTACTTAGAGATAATATCAATGATACAATCTACTTAATAATGTGTAAATTATTAAATATCTAATTTAGCACATGCATTTGTTATTAATGTAGTCTTTTATACCTCGACGAGAACCGGTTTAGCTTATTTCAAACTTCTGTGACTTCTTTTCCCATCGCGTTCCTGACATAGTTTTTTCCATTTTAAAGGAATATTAATTAAGGATACGTTAGATCTGCTTTCCTGTTAAAGAAGTAGCTGCTCACGTTTGTTGATGCCATTTTTATTTAACCATTTAGTGCTTTTAATTTTTTTTACAAAAAAAAACAAAAATGTTAAAAAGGTAACAAAATTGTCAAAACAGAACAAAAACGTTTTATAGAATACAGCACAACTGTTAAAGGAATTAAGTGTGTCTTATTGCTTCTGATTTAGCCAAACTGTTATGATTTTTCGTTTCAAGCTAACAAAACAAAAAACAGGCAAAAACACAGTACCCCCTTTCATTTATGCATTGTTTAATATTTTTTTAAATCTTCGTTATTTTTTTTTTGTAATAAAAAGTCGTTTGCCTACAGATCACTAATACCGGTATCCTATTAAGTATAATGGTGACATTATCGATTTTTCCCTATGTGGACAGTGTCCATCTTGGACATTCCGGATACCCATCAATAATTCATTTGATTGCCATCAGGCCATCTCAGAGACTATATTAATGTCTCCATCTGCGACTTTTAGTGGAAGAGCATAACAAAATTCTGAAAGTGAGCTACTTCTGAACTATCATTCAATATATGCACCATAGGCTTGCCAGTCACTATTATAACTGGTAATTTCTTTAATTTTGATATTTAAATTTCCTTTCTGTAAGTCAACATACATTTTTACATAAGGAACAAAATCGCGTGTATATTCGTCTTTTTCTTCTGTAATTGGATTTTGCAATTGGAGAGTGAACTCCCCTCTAAAACTGGATATACTTCCGTTCCATGGTGATCGATACAAGTTATCTCCCTTAACAAAAACATTACATAAACACGCAGACCAACAAACATCGATGATATAATAAACTTGCACAAAGAAAATGAAACAAGGAATGATCATGGTAATTAACGAAGATATAATGAGTAAATGAACACATTAGTGTCCTGAACTACAAAATAACAATAACTGTTTTTTTATGTGCATATCTGTTAACCAAGTACAGGTTTAAGTTCACTAAATCTTTACCAGTTACATAAAATGCATGTTGGTTTCATGAGCTATGCAGTTGAACAACCAATAAAATGCGTAATCTGATAGGCTTTTAAATCATATGATATATTATTTAATGCTTCGTATTATGTCACTGTAAAAGAGTTGATTTTGATATGCTGGGGAGTAATGCGAGATTTAAGATTATTTTTATGTTTGTTATAAAAAGTTTATGTTTTTCGGTAGAGATTGGTGTCAAACACTACATATTCTGTGTGTTCTAAGCGTGTAGGTAGCACTATCAGAAAGAATATTTGTCCGATAATTATTCTTGGTTGGCTGCCATGGTAGTCAAGTTTGATTTAACCCAAAGCTAACAAATCAAATGCTCCTAAACATTTTCAACTTTTAGCTACCTTAAAAAAAAATTGCGATTTCCTATATTACGAATAAATTTTTACTAGTTCAACAAAAATCTGGAACCGTTACCTCTTAGATAGAAATCCCCATCGGAATCGAGCGAATTTGACGATGACTATTCAAGAACAAAGTGTGATGGTAACTTAAATTAGAACCATACGTTCATATCACTGCTACTAAGTTGGTACTTCTGTCATTGAACTACACGTCCGCGTTGAGGTACCACCCGCCAGGTAGGGCTTTAGCATAGGCAGGATCAAAATGATATATTTAAATTATGAATTGTCGCCGAGTCTGTGTATTGTGTAAACGTACAAGGAAACTAGGTAACGAGAAGGCTTTCAGGCGAAGTTGAAAACAGGCTCTTCTGTTGAGGACCGTGAAGGATTTAATGTTCCTAGAATTTTCATTTTTCATACTCACAAACTTTTGGCTATCAACATACTTGTAGAAGAAGATTACTACAGATACACGAATCGAGCACACTGAAACGATGATCATACATTTATTGTATTATTTAGAAACCGCTGCTCGCTCGATGCCTATATTAAGCTCATATTGAGGCTGAGAGGTTTTACTACATATCACAAAAAGTATTCTTCGAGAACATTAAGCAGTACAAGATATTTAACAGTATGTATTAAATTGCAGATTTTTGGTATTTTAAATGCATGTGCAGCTTTGATGTTACTGATTAAACATATACATTTTATACCATTATCTCTTTTACTTGCTATCGTGTTTTAAAACCCTTTAAAAAGAAAACACTCCGTCACGTGAAAAATGTCAGATATTTACGTTAAATTATAAGTTTACCATATGGTTGACTCGTGTAATACTAATTGATGAGTAAACTATTT